TATATTTTAGATTGTATATACTAAAAAAATTACAATTTTCTATAAGGATTTTAATGCTGGATAAGGGTTATGTTTTTCATTTATATGTTACTTAAATCTTCTAGCGATAAAACACATTTTCACTCTACTGAGGTACATACTGGCATTACCAGATTCTAAGGGAAATGTTTCAGGATCATGTAGGAGAGCTCTAGCGATTCATTTAATTTAAAATAATCAAAGAACAAAACACTACTGACATTCCTTTAAATCTGAACTTGTCAGCAATATTATGAGTTCTTAGCGATTGGTCCCTTGTACATTCCCCTTGGAACCGTACATTTTCTACATAATTAACTATGTCAATGCTCCAAGAGGTATTTAGTTAAGGAGTAATCTTTTTCAAGCATTAGCTAAATTATGTCAACTTGAACCTGTAAGATTTATGACAGATGCTTTTGAATATATTTTTACCTCTGCATCTCAATTATTCACACACATTTTCAGTCTACTGAGGTACATACTGGCATTACCAGATTCTAAGAGAAATGTTTCAGGATCATGTAGGAGAGCTCTAGCGATTCATTTAATTTAAAATGATCAAAGAAGAAAACACTACTGACATTCCTTTAAATCTGAACTTGTCAGCAACATTAAGAGTTCTTAGCGATTGGTCCCTTGTACATTCCCCTTGGAACCGTACATTTTCTACATAATTAACTATGTCAATCATCGTATCTGTATGATAGACAAGTATCTTAGCAACCTGTATATATATATAAAAAGCAATGCTCCAAGAGGTATTTAGTTAAGCAGTAATATTTTTCAAGCATTAGCTAAATTATGTCAACTTGAGTCTGTAAGATTTATAACAGATGCTTTTGAATATATTTTTACATATGCATCTCAATTATTAACATTTGGTTATTATAATTCCTAAATTGTCTTAATCTCCAAATCAATTTAAATTATCTGACCAGTTATCCGTAGCCATTTCCATTGCTGTCTACTTACATTATCTGTATCTACTTTTATATTGTATTGTCTCATTAATTTTTCTGAATCCTGTCAGAATGAGATATTAGGCAAGAAAGTGTAAGTTATCTTCATCATGTGTATTCCGCCAGACGTAACTCATTACCTTCTTCTTCATAAAATGTAAAATGTCCCTTAGTTATATAAATGAAGTATAGACCTATGAAAGATTTAGATTTTACATCATCTCATGTTTTGGCTTCCAGCCTCAAACTTTCCTGACATTGTTTAATGAGTTTATTAATTTCTTCCTAAGGTTTCCCTATATGTATTTCAAGACTGTAAATAATTTAACTATTGAGAATGACTCATTCTGGTAATGCCAGTATGTACCTCAGTAGACTGAAAATGTGTTTTATTGCTAGAAGATTTAAGTAACATATAAATGAAAAACATAACCCTTATCCAACATTAAAATCCTTATAGAAAATTGTAAATTTTTTAGTATATACAATCTAATATATAGCATGGTCAAGCATAAAGTATTTAAAAATTGAATATATACAATCTAAATATCTAAAATATACAATGATCAACCATCAAATATTTAAAAATTTAAGTTAATGAAGTTCTTTAATGTTTAACAAATTGTTTAAGACAGTATGCTGCACATTAGACTGAAAATGTGACAGAATATATCTAAAAAGTATAAGCATAAATATATTATGTGGATATATAAAAAGTATAAGCATTAAAATATTATGTGGATAAGATCGAAATGGGTGTTCAATCGATGTTTATTTAATGGTGGGTAAGGAATGCTAAATTTAAAAAACGGCGGATAATATATAACCTAAACTATATAATTTCTATATTTACTGAAAACAGAGGTAAGGTGGAGGGGACAAGACAACCCCCTCCTACAGTGGCTTAATAATTAATAATATTATTAAGCCACTGTACCCCTCCGCAATAGTGGCGCTATATTTCGTAAACGTTATCAGGACACAGGACATACCAGTTCAACCAAGCTGGAGAGTGGAGTAGCGTTTGGAAATATTTACCATATATATATATATATATATTTTTTTTATATTTATATATATTATTTTTTTTTTGTTCTTTCCTACCTCGCCTTTTAGGCTATACGGGATTTTCCCGGGGTGAGGGCGGGGAATTTAAAATCCCCTCCGGCACCGGGACGCGAACTCATACTTTTTAAATCTTCTCAAATCTGTAATGCGGTTGCCAGGCAACTCGCGGTGATGTGCACACGCCTTAACCCCTTCGCCCACCCCGCCCCCGTTTAAACTTATATTAAAATAATTTTTTTTTCCTGTGATAAATTTTATATTTGATGGGGGAAAATATCTCTGGGATCCTTTGGTTTCTGTGTACAGCCCTGCAGAGAATATTTGAATTTATTTATTTATATTTAAACAGTTAAATGAAAAACTTCCTGTTAATTAGTTCAGACATAACTCATTCAGAAATATATGGAAATGAATGCTCAATTCATCTGAAGTTCAAAAAGTATTTTTAATAAAATTTGACGAATAACTATTATTTTAGAAATAATTATTTCATGATTATTTCTTTAATTCATTTATTAAATTAATGAAATCAACAATGCCCAGGTTGCTAGAACGAAAAAGAAGTGATAGAGCGGAATGGTCAGAGCTGTGATTTCACAGCGCCAACAGTGACTGTCACTGTTGGAGCACAGCTCCGGCGTACAGTGATTTCACAGCGCCTACAGTGATTTCACAGCGCCTACAGTGACCGTCACTGTTGGAGCACAGCTCCGGCGTACAGTGATTTCACAGCGCCAACAGTGACCGTCACTGTTGGAGCACAGCTCCGGCGTAGTGATTTCACAGCGCCAACAGTGACCGTCACTGTTGGAGCACAGCTCCGGCCTACAGTGATTTCACAGCGCCAACAGTGACTGTCACTGTGATCATCAGCTCCGGCCCAGTCACAGTGACAGAATCACAGCTCCGGCCATATGGTCCCAACACTAGTTCAACCAAGGTGGCAGGTGGAGCACCGTTTGTAAATAATTACCGAGAACATATTTTCACTATAAGACACATAACAAATACAAGAATTTTTTTAGCAACCGCACTGTTCAATCGTAACAGCTGTTTCGGGAAAAAAAATAGCATAGATAGAATTGAAAAAATACAAACTGGGAATCTATTTAATGTAAGTTAGTCGATAGGATGGGAATATAGATTAAAAGAAAGATGTAATTTTTGTTAATCGTAGTGGTAGCACTGTTTGGTTGATGGATTTATTTTCCCTGTTTGATAGTTTTTACGTTCTTTTTATAAGGATGGGAATAACTAGATTCATTTTTGGTAGGGTTACTTACGTTTTGTATACTATCTATAAGTTTAGTATTTTTGGAGTTACTTGTATGGTAAATTTCTTTGTCAGCTGATGAGAGTAATTACAGCCGTCAAAGTTAACAATTGATCATCTCATCCCCTCAAAAAAACTTTATGTATCTTTCACCCTCCATAGGGCGGTCAAGGATTTTCAATATTGGGGCGCAATGAGCCTATCAGGCACACTGAAAAAAAAACCATAACGTCCCTAAAATGCCATATTAAATTAAACCTAAGTTCCCCACTAGAATATAAACAATAAGGGAAATACTAAAATAACAATTGAAAAATGTAAAAAAATATCTTCTAAAAAGAGACACAATGATCTTGACAAGCACACCAGAATGGCGGGAAGAGCCTGACAGGCACAACAACCTCATTGTAGCAAGGTAATGCAACCTGACAGATATAGCACTATCACAGGTTTAAAAAAAATACAGAAGTCCTTGAATTACTCATCAAAATTGAAAAAATACTGACCTTGGATTTGTGGAGTAATTGGGCGCAGTGAGTCTGTCAGACCAAAACACATGTGATACACTACCTAGATGGCTGGACACAAACTGAAGGATGGGATTAGAACTGCCCTACCTGAAAGGAATGGTTCTACTCAGCACTCTGTGAGAAGTGACACTAATATAACCAACACCAGTGCCTGTCAGGTCAGCCACGCCCTACCCAGGGTTAAGAGGATTGATTAAACACAATTTACATAGTAATTTGCCAGAATTTTGAGCTTAAGTTCTTTCAGAACACTCAGAGGATCTCATCAAATAATTTGAGACATCAAACTCGAAAAATTGATGCACCTGTTTGTTTAAAACAGCATTACAAATTGATTAAATAGATTTTATTTAATAAATAGTCAGTATTATTAGGTTAAATTGTTTCAAAACACTCACGAGATCTCACCAAATAATTTGAGCTATCAAACTTAAAAAACAGCAATTAGCTCAAAAAACTGTTACATAGCTTTTAGTGGACGACCCAATTACATAACCTTCGTTTCGTTTCACTTCGCTTAGTCCGGTCATAAAAGTGTCATTTAGATAACAATAAAATAGTTACATATGTACTACTAGACCCTAGCATAGCCACCAACTAGTTGACTTTTCTCAATTGATTTTAGTTTACACATTTGATTCATTCATGTAGCTTATTTATTATTGATTTAAAATTTTTTTTTTGACTGAAATTATTGGAGGAGAGAAGGGAGGGAGAACCCCATTCCAAAGTCTGCGCATGTGGTTAGAACATGGCATTAGAGAAGTGATAGATACCAAAAAAGGTTTGAATCTGGATGAAAGATATCTGTGCTCAAGTGTGATGATGATTTGGTACCATAAAGTGAAGACACAGAGAACTATAAAACTAAATACAACGTTGATGTAAGCCAGTAAAGAACTGGGGCTCGAAATAAATATGGAACGGACAAAATATATGGTTAGTAGCACAAATGGAAATGATTTCGGTGAAGTACATGAAGAGAATAGTTTCAGGTTCTCTAAGTAGTCTGGTCACTGAATGGTGAAAAGATGTTTGCAGAGGGCATGGAGTAAGGACAATCATTGGACTTAGAAATTTGTTGGGTATAGATAGGAGGTAAACATGTCCCCATACCCATGCACTTAATTTTATAAAGCAAGGAAGATAAGTGAAAGGAAAGATTAATTATTCACAGTTAAAATATATTGTACTGAACAAAGAAATACTTATTTTATTACAATTAAAACAGAAACCATTGACAGTTCTAATGATGACTTAATGAGTAGATATCTCAGGTCCAAAACTTTAAGTTAATTTTCTACATGGCTGTATGGATTTATCAATGCTCTTAAAAAATAAGATCCAAAGCCTAAATATCACTATTAAACTTAAAAATTGCAGAAAACTTCAAGAACATTCAGGAAACAATATATTCAAAGTAGCTTCTTTGTATCTCTTCAAATTATAATTATTTTCACCTGTAAAACATAAAAGTTAAAAATTCTTTATAGAATTATTGGTATAGAGTTTTATTAATTAGAATTTGATTATAAACTTTTTAAAAAAATTATCACCTATTAAATGACTCCTTAAGGCTATTTATCTAACCTCATTTTGAAAATATAATATTGCATTCAAATGAACAAATTTTTTAATGATTAGGGATTATCTATTTCTCTAAGGATTCTATATTTTTACTTTCACTTACCTATTTATTTAATATATAATAAAAGAAAGTATTGTGATAGTGAACATTTTTGAATCCGATTTTTCAACGAAAATAAACGTGCCACTCTTGTCAGACTAAATTATTTTGTGGCACTTAATTATTTATTATACTTAAATAAATAATTAAAATATAATCATAAAAGGAAATGGTTAGTGACAAAAAACATAAATATAATACATTATATGGCTTTCAAAAACATGGTAATTATAATTGTTTTAAATAATATTTTGTATCCTGCATAATTTTTACTTTCACTTCCATTTGTCTGAAAACACTCATTTCTGTTTAAAAAAAAAAGGGTGGTAAGTGAAAGTTGTGAGATGCAATATCGACCTTTGCACTCTGGTTAAAATAGATTGGTTACCTGTAGGATAACTCACCCTCTCTATTGCAGATATGACCAGATAGAATGTAAATATATATAAAAGATGAAGACCGGAATTTGGCAGTATCAGCCTTAATGCCATTCTAGAATGTAAACAACATGCCGTATGTACATAAGGATAATTTTACGAATAAAGCAGTATTGATTCTGAAGCCGTGAGTATTCTATCTCAAACCTTTTTCTTTTTTTTTTTTACTATTTTAGTTCACTAGTGCCGAAATCCGGGGCACCACGAGTATACCATAATTAGTGAACTATTTTATTATTTCGTTCTTCTTTCATTTTTTTTTCTTCTTTAAAGCAGCTAAGAAATGCTGCAATGGTGACGAACAGCTTGATCATACCAGGAGTATTAAATTAACTGGAAATTCCTCAGGCTCTAGAAATCCACCACATTCAAGAAATCTCTCCTCTACCGAGGGACACATTGTCGGAAGCACATACTAATGCCTTAGAATGGATGAAAATAAGAACAGGCTTCATGCAGGACGTAAGGAAGGCGATCGCTGACCTGAAGTGCTTTGGTGGGGAGGTAAGTGAAGGTAACCATTTCTTAAAATGTGGTGACCGCCTTTAGTCCAGAATAGAGACAAAAGTGTCAGCGAACCTAGTGAATTTGGAGGACGTCGAAGAACTGAAGGCAGCCCTGGTATGTAGAAGCATCCTGAACCAGATACAGGCAGACGAGGAGAGGCCTGTCATCAAGGAGAGGCTTTCGGGAGGGGCGGATGGACCCCAGAGGAAGATATTTTTCGGATGTTTAGAGAATGCTGGTCTCAACAACATATATGGGGACAGTATGGCGGAGTACTGTTGGCAAAGTACAATCGCATCACTGAAATGGTGAGTGTGTCTGAGGTAGAAGACCAAATGGCGTTTCTTTCAACTATACTCAAGATCCAGTTAGCGAAGAAAACAGGGAAGAAAGATACGCTAACTAGAGAGCGGTTGTTCCCGGAATGTGCCAAGAAATGATGGATGTCAGCGCAAGAGAAGAAGAAACTAAGATGGGGGTGTAAGAAACAGGATGACAGATGCTCCAGGGTCTGGAGAAGGTGAAAACAGGGACACAGTAGACTCCCGAAAGGAGGAGAGGAATGTCATGCCTGTGGAAAGCCAGGTCACCTGGTGGCACAATGTCCTTGCATCAGACGCTTTGAGAAAGCCGTAGGACAGAAGAAATCCAATTCGTAAACTGGTTGAGGGGAAGATAAAGACCGGAGTCTGGCAGTATCAGTCTTAATAGCATTCTGGAATGTAAATAGCATGCCGTATGTATATAAGCATTATTTTACAAATAAAGCAACATTGATTCTGTAGACCTGATTGTATCATCTCAAACTTTTTTTATTGTTACTTTCACTTACACTACTTTCACTTATTGTTACTTTCAGAAATAGTAAAGGAAAGTTTTGCACGATGGTGAAAATTTTTGAATTTCAGTTGTAAACAGAAATACACGTTTTGATGTCCAAATTACCAAGTCCCACAAAATGGTCTCTGTGTGTAACAGTCTAACTCAAAAACGAAAGCACCTCGAAATACAAGTTACAGCTTCTCGGAGATTTGAGTGCCAGGACCCTTTTCAAATGGAGGTTGGAAGAGAGGATTGACCTTTCCTATGGGCAAACGGCGAAGGAGAAATATAGACATCTGAGGAAATGCGTCCATTCCGCAACGACAGAGACTTTTGGTGAGGAGCGACGTGTGCCGGATTGGTGGATTCAGGATGTATCCTAGATGATAAAGGAAAAGAAGCTGGCTTTTGGAAAGCATCTTTCTTCCACCAGACAAGATCATTGGGCGGCATATGGAACCCTGAATCGGAAGGTAAAAGAGCAGGTGACAAAAGCCAAGAATGATGCATGGGGAAAATGTTGCCAGTGAATAAACAGTACCCTAGGTTTGTCCAGGCAAGATCTTGTAAGGAACTTCGTTTGGAGTCTCCATCTTACCAGACTGGATAAAATTAAGAATGAGACAGTTTGACAGAGAATGGATGTCGGTACAGCGGTTAATGAAAAGATCGGGGCACGCTGCCTAAGATGGTATGGGCATGTGAGAAGAATAAAGGGGGAATGTTGACTAAGCCGAGTCCTGGATTGGGTTCCGCCAGGGAAGAGAGGACGTGGAAGGCCCAGAAGCATGTGGATGGAAAGGGTCCAGGAGGAAGATGACTGGCGAGATAGAAGCACATGGAGCTCAGCGCTGACTAAGTGAGGCAACCCTTAGATGGAACGTCTATAAAGTAAAGTAAGTATTTATTTATAATTATTATTTTTTTTAATGATGTAGAGATGGTTGACCGTTGATATGATATGAGAAGGAGTTGGTTGAGGGTGCGGTCAAATAATTAAAAAAAATTAAAATATATAAATAATTTTAATTTTTGCCGACGTTTCGACCCACTTTGCAGGTCGTCTTCAGGGCTACAAAAGATACAAACATGTTGAAAAAATAAAAATAAAATAAAAAATAAATATAAGTATATATAAATCACGAAGAAGTTGTCAGATAGATTGAAAATTGAATAACTATTACTGTAACAATAGTTATTCAATTTTCAATCTATTTATTCGTTAACATTCATTTATTCGGTAACATTCATGTATTTATTTTCTTTTATCTATTTTCTTATCATGTATTTATTTTATTTTATTTATCTTTTATTTCTGTATCTGACAACTTCTTCGTGATTTATATATACTTATATTTATTTTTTTATTTTATTTTTATTTTTTCAACATGTTTGTATCTTTTGTAGCCCTGAAGACGACCTGCAAAGTGGGTCGAAACGTCGGCAAAAATTAAAATTATTTATATATTTTAATTTTTTTTAATTATTTGACCGCACCCTCAACCAACTCCTTCTCATATTATTTTTTTTCTTGTTGACATTACAGACCTTGTAGATGTTTTGCCGTCTTAACAAGCCTGCTCCATCTCCGCCTGTCTTGGGCTATTTCTTTCCATTTATCTGCACGCAGCTCTATTGTATCTTTGTTGTTTCTATCTATCGATCTGCTTTTTGGCCTTCCATGTGGTCTTTTTGCTGTCGTTTAAGCCATTCATAGTTACGTAGGAGGTTCCAGATAGATTGCTATGAGCGACATGAAGCTACTAATCTTTGCTCGTCCTTCTTGCTCAATGTCCATGTTTCTGATCCGTGGCATAGGACTGGCCTGGTGAGTGTTTTGTAGAGCAGAAGTTTAGTTTTACAGGAAAGGATGTTTTCTCTTAGTTGGTACTGTAATTCACAGAAGCAGCGATTCGCTAACTTCACTCTATTCTTGAATTCGGCTATCATAATTTGAGTAATATCATTATTTGAGTTTACAATGCATCCAAGGTATTTGAACAGGTTCACCGTTTCAAAGATGTATTATCTAAATTTAACCAATTCTTCCGGTCATGCGAGCTGTCCTGTGACCATGTACTTTGTTATGGTTGTATTTACGATGAGTCCAATCTTCTTTGCTAATAGAATTTATTAGTGAATTCTATTATAAAGAACCAAAGTTGGAGCACCACTTAATCTCAGTGCCATCATATAATGGGATATTGATTGACCAGTTTCTGTAAGCAGTTCTTTATTGGTGTTTCTTATCCATGTGTTAATACTCTGGTCCCAGATTACTCCAGTTATTGTGCAGAGGATTTTTCTCTCAAATTGCTAGACACTTTTTTTGTAGGGTGCTGGTTAGTGTCGAGGTCTCAGTCATATATTAGAACTGGCTTTATCATATCATTATTTGAGATTTTAAAGGATTTCAATACACTTGAAAGGGATAAGAAAACTCTATTTGCGCTAGTTATATGTCGGTCTATTTCTACCCGTGGCGAGAACCCTGCTTGGTGTACGGAACTGGAGAGCTGCAGCAGAAGACAGAGCCAACTGGCGGAGGCTCTTAGAGGAGGCCCAGTCTCGGTAACGGGATGTCGTGCCACATATGATGATGATGATTTCTACCCGTTGGTCATTCATTGAGGTTATTGTGGAGCCGAGATATTTGAATTTTCCAACTCTAGTGAATGATTTTCCTTCTATGCAGATCCTATTATTGGAATGGGATTTTTGGCTTATCATATATTTTGTTTTGTCTTGTATTTACTTGTAGACCGATCTGTTTTGCTTCTCTTATCAGAGTCTTAGTGAATTTCTCAATGTCCTTTTGATTACTTCCACGGACAGCTATATCATCTGCGTATTCAAGGAATTTATGATTCATTCTATTAGTATAAAATAATATATAATGTACTGCTTATCAATAATGTCTTTATGGTAGCTCCAAGATTGTATAGTATTAGCAGTTAAGATTTTAGTTTTTTAGTTATAATAAGCAAAATATACAATGTCAACATAATCGGTTTGGAATCCAATTGAATTAATCATAAATTTGCAATAGCCATATGTTTTTCTTTATAGAATAAAGAAGTTATGGATAGTACTTGATGCTATATAGATGAAGGCTGCGAGTGATACTGCAAGAGGAGATTAATGCCAAACCCTACTCATTTCCATGCTAGGAGGGCTATTTTATTACAGAATGTTATTCTGTGCTCTATGATCCAACTTAAGGGAAAAATCCTTATATAATCCCCTTAAAGACATTGATAGATTAGTGAAATGGCAGTCTATGAATATTTAGACTTTGTATAATAGTTGGCCTTCCACAACACATTACGGCTTCTAATAAGTACATCTCATATCATCCACAATCTACATTTCAACATATGAAAGAGTCTAGAATTCTTTAACATTTTGTATTTCCAGGTCAATATATACACATAAAATGTATACAGAACCATATACAGCCGTATATGTATTTATCAGCCGTGGGCAAACACAGCAGCCGTGTGGCAAACACAGCAGAGGCTTTATAGAGATATAGTTGGGTACTCTTAATCAAATAATTAATTAAGGCGGAAAACCTGGCGGTTGAGTGTTATATTGGCCTTTCACCTCCCTGCACAACCTTTGTTCTTGTAACAGTACTTCCTCACATTGTACTGAACTAAAGACCCTTCATTATTTAGTAGTACAGGTTGTTAGTAGTATGTTAGTAGGTTGTTAGTAGTACAGGTTTTTTTCCCCCATATTGTCTGGGCCACAATTTAAAAAGTATTTGACTACTCCAGGGGACGATTTAGCTCACTAACAATTTGCCTCTGTGTCATCCCACCTCTTTTTGGGTCCATTATCCTTTGTTGCTTAATTTCAGTCATTTGAGTTATCTAAAACAAAAAGACTAATTCATTCAGCATAAAAAATGTCTACTAAGTAAGGCCAGTATAGCTTCCTCACCATTTTCATTGCCTGAACAATATCTATGGTAATGTACACTGTTAATGGAAGTGAGTAAAAAGGTTTTAATAAATTAATATTGAACAATTAAAAGACAAGCTAATCTAGTTCTACTAGTGCAGGGAAAAGAAAATGGCTGCTCTGTAGTTTCCCAGAAAGGAAAATCCCAAAAAAGAGGAGAGGGAAAAAGGTTAATGTTTTGGCAAGCAGTTGTTGTGGGGCTGCAGTGAACAGAGGATAGAAGAAGGGATTCTTGCTCCAGTGGGTAAAACCCAGTAATAGTATTACCATCTTGGAAGTTGTTGTTTGGCAGAGAGAATAGTTGTTTGGCATTACAAGAGAGAGGATCTCTCAGGGAGCTTGAGTTGAGTAGAAGAAAGTGTCACTATCTTGGAAGTTGTGTTTGTCAGAAGATTGGAAATAATTTGAAGACAAATGAATTTAGTGCAACAAAGGGTGCAACACGTCATTGTTGTTGGTCTTCCTAGTAGTTGCGAGTCAGAAACATTAAAATTACCGGATTCAAACTTGAAAAACCACCTCTGGCATTACGAACGTCTAATGCATTAGGATAAACATCACAAATGTGACTGTTGCATTACTATCCTTGGGAAATTCAAAAAGCATGCAATGCCGGTTATGTATTGTAGAGACCACATTTAAATATATTTCATCATTTCATATAAATAAATAGAAAATATTATAATAATTGCGAACAAATGAGACACCTTAGCTACCTCCCAGGGGGTGCAGCCCTTTCTAAGAGACAATAAAACACAAGTCATAACATTCATTTAGTATTACTGCTTGTGCTGGCAGTCAATAACAATAATAGTCGTTAGCAACATTAGTGTCTTATTCTATCAGTCATATTCTCAAATAGCATTCTCCTAGTATAATGATCCAATAATTATGGTACATATATGTTTTGTTTTTGTTTTGATTAAATTTATAAATAGATTAATTAGTATTTAATCTTGATATTTTAACAATCTCCCTTGCATGTTACCATTTAGGTATAGATACAAATAGTAAATTTTTAAACACAATATCTTTTGAAAAAATAAATTATATTATTCAATCTAGGATGCTACAGTAGGGCGTCTATGGTATCTAACCTTTAAATACATTATTCACATATTTTTAAGTAGATCGGTTCCCTACTGAAACTGATATACATATAAATATCAGCTACATTTAATAGAAATAAATGCGGTTCCTGGAAGCCCCTAAACGCTATAGAAACGCAATGTCAAGGAACATAGCAGTACCTCTTCTGGTATTTGGCTGGCCATTTCACTAAAAATTGCAACAACAAAATTTAATTTAATTATTTGCAACTAAAGAAATCACCCCAACCCTAACCTTAGAATGCCTTTGCCATGACATGGATGTACACAATGAGCTGAAAAATGACAATAAGTAGTGACATGCTCAAGAAAAACATTACTTTCCAGTCCTCCTAATATATATCGCGACCTTTTGGAAAGAGAACGGCGAATGATCATGTTAGGCCAAAAGGATTGGGTGTACAAAGAGAAAAAATCCTTTCATTGGGTACCATGAAAAGAAATAGTGAAAAAACAAGTGTATAATACGTAAATGGATTATCTACTAAACAAATTGACTTACCTTCATCAAATAATGCAACAATACTTTCCTTTAATCTTTCAACCAGTAAATTATTTTCTTCCATGTTTTGGTTTGCCTGTTTGAATAAATGTATTAAATTTTCTTTACATTTACTATTGTCCCAATCATAATATTCCAAATCTGGCTGAGATTTTTCAATTTCCCAATGTTCAAAAGTCTAAAAAGAAATCAAATATTTTTTAAGATTTAATAATATACTTGTTCATAAAATATTATTTAATCATTTAATCAATAGTAAACATCCTTTTTAAAATAACAAAATAGACACAAGATTTGAAAATAAACTTGGTATCATTGAAGTACAAGTGTTTCTCCACTTTGATGGGTAACCAAGATCTCACACTACAGACAAAGAGTAGAAGAAACATCAATTTTGTTCAAGGATAATGTCCCTTAACATAACCCTGTTGTTCAAACTGAGATAAAATTTGGCCAAAAGACCTATTACAATAAAATAATAACTACAACATAAATAATGAAACATATACATACATAGTGAGGAGTAAGTTCAAAATTAGTAAAAAATGAAATACATCTCAAAGACAAAGAAAAAAAATCTTGTACAGTGCAAGGATCACACAACTTTCACTTACCATCCTCTTCTTAGTAGAAATAAATATTTTCAGATGAAAGGAAATAAAAGTAAAAATTATAGATGGTATGAAACATTATTTAAAACAGTTAAGTACCATATGTTTTTCATAGCCCTTTCATGTATTATATTTATTTTGTTTGAACCAAGCTATTTACTTTTACAACTGTATATTTCAATTATTTATTTGATTATAATAAATAATTAAGTGCCAATTAGTATTTTTAGTCTGAAAAGAGTGGGACTGATAAAGAAGGGAGCTATATTTATTTATATTTCATTGTAGGTATGTTTTTATTTGTCTATAATGTTTTTAAATATTAAATAATACAAACAATAGCACTTATGAAAACCGCATAAGTTTATGTATATAATATTCTTGGAGCTCATATTATATTAAGCTAAGACTACGTATGGAAGTCTGGTATAATCTTTCGGGTGAGCTCTTATTCCTTTGGTCCCTCTATTACAACTATTCTTCGTTTCGATCTCTTATTTTTCTTTAGTTAATTATCAAATTCTTTCATATTTTATATTTAACTATTTATTATATCAGAGTTTATTGTGAAATGGTTAATTATTTCAAATAAATAAAATTAAAGGTACTTTAGAGGAATTAATATTGAAAATTAGCCATATTAGCCCTATTAGAGAACATCAATGAGAATAAAACCTATCATTATATTAAAAACTACTTAATTTTACACTGATATAAAGAATATAATCAAAATCATTAGAGCCGTTTTCGATAAAATCGTAAAAATGTGTAAAATTGATTATATAAACTGCCACTTCCGATTAGCCGGTATATTTAATAATTAAAATATTTAATATTTATTTACATGTGCCAAGCACCCCTGAAGGTAGGCCTGTGCTACTCACAATGTACAGCAAAAAGAGATATGAAATGTTTTCTATATTCATAATAGAAAAAAAACATATGATGTAATAAAGAAAAATAAAATCTGGTTACATAATAAATAATTAGCCTGTTGTTGCTTGAATCGTAAGGAGGAATTATTGATTATTTGGTAAAGAAATGTGCCTAGTAAGTATTTTCTTCGGTAGGGGACGAGGCACCCTAACTCAGCGTAGTAGTGGAAAACACGAGAATGTTTCGAGGTCCCATTGACAAACCTTACCATTGTTCAAGGTATTCATAATTCTTCTTAGTCTGTGTCCAGGTTCCTCTGAGAGGTCACCGTACACCACGCAACAGCAGTCCAGTAGTAAAGGTGGGAGAAGATGAGGGTGGATACCAAGAGTCAACATATAGGTATGGGTAAGAAATGGCTAAAGCAATGGAATAGTTTCATGGAACAAATTGATGGGAAATGAAGGCAATATAGTGAATCCATTAGAGGGTTTGATCAATGAAACTGGCCAAATTCCTAATTCAGGAGTTAAAGGTATGGGGTAGAAATATTAGTATTGGATCAGAGGAGTTAGGAACTAACGGAAATGGCCTAAGTTTTAGCAAAATTTAACCTTGATCCATTTAAGTTTGCCCAGACACTCATCCGATTTAGGTCTTTTTAAATTTTGGCGAACGCATAATATCACTCAGAGGAAGAGAAGGAAAGATAAATTTATAAATCGATGGCATGGGGGTGATGGGAACAATGAAGGATTGATTTATGAAAGCTGTTGATAAAGGGACTAAAAGTATGCTAGAGCCGGGGCCACTCCTGAGGACAGAGTAAGATAGAGGTTGAATAGGAATAGTGACTGCTTAGGTAATTTAAGAGAGAAAGATTGAAACCAAAAGATAGAGCTGTTGCAAAAGGATAACGATTTTGATTTGGAAATGATGGAATGGTTAATGGTAATAAAAACTTTAGACTTTAGAAAAGTCAAAATGGAAATCGAGAATGGCTAGTGGGGGGTGAATCCAAAAATAAATGGAAGTGACTGAAGCGTTTGGTTAGGCCTTGACCTCATCTGAAAAAGCCACATAAAGGTTTTGTTTATTTCTTTTGAATAAATGTAGGGAACTGAAGTCAAAACCAAGGATAGATAATTAAGGCCTCAATTTTAAATAAAAAGGACCAGTTGAGTGTTTGCAGAATTTGTAATACACTATCTAACTACAGAAAGGTTATACAGTGAATGCATCAATAACTGGTCATTCTCAAAATTTCAGTTTAAAAGAGATCATGACATCATGGTCCATCCATGAAAGTGGAGTAACACTTGTATAGTGGTACCTCATTGACATACAATGTTTCTACATAAACTTAAAACAATAATTATTAAAAAGACATTATAACTTCTCTTGTGTTTTTAATTTATTTATACTCTCACTATAATCATTGTTCACGTGACAGATTATAATATTTCTGAATAAAAAAAAAATATATATATATATTAAAATAATTAAGTACTTATCTAATACCAAAACTCACCCACGATTCATAATATACAGCTGTCAAAAGATATAGCGCATAATCATAGTTCTGTTTACGTAAAGGACATTTGTCAGTTACAATGGTAACAATACCAGTTTCCTCATCATATCGATCACCTACAAGTCTCAAAAACTTATCTTTAGCATGCTCATCCAAATGAAGTTTATCTAAAGGAAACTTTTGAAGCAAAGTTAATTAAAGTTATAATTCATAATCAATACTAATCAATAAACAAAAACATTTGTCCATACTTTGATCGTAATAATTCTAGCTAGAGGATTTCGGATTGATGGTGATGAATGACAATAATCAGTTTGAATCAATTCCAAAGGAAAATATTTTTGGCAATTTTCATTGGTACTTAATGCTCTTGGCCAAGGTGTGCAAAATTTTTTTAATGCCATACAATGTTTCTTTATAGCTGGTGGAGTTAAATGCAAAAAATTTGGAATTTTCATAAGTTCGACATTACCAACTTTTCCTGGGGAGGCTCCAAGTTTATTAATTCCCTGTCTGAGAGGTAGCGGTACACTTGCAGGATGAAATGTTCGAGGACCAGGCCAAACATTAGACCAATCTTGATCAACAGGCATCCTTTCCGTTCTAGGAGGAAACACAACACGAGGTTGTTTTTTCCTTGAATAAGTCTGAGGTGTTTTTCCCCCTCTGATATCTAAAGTTCTAAATTCATCCTCATCTATAAGAGGTTAATCATTAAATTAGTTTTGTTACCGTTAAAGCTACATTAATATCAAATAATACAATAGTACTGACCAGACCCTGGTTTACTTGCTAAGTCAGTAGTTTTCCTTATATTATCAAAACTAAAAAACGATTTCGAAAATTTAAATAAAACAGGTTTCTTATAACAAGAAGATACAACAGTGGACATGTTAATTAATTTTTTATTTTAATAAGTCTATTTTAATAACCCACTGGTAATCCTAATTAAAAAAAATTATAATTCTTTACGAATAATGGAACCGTTAAACTCATGGCATATTACTGATTAACACTGCGAGTTATTGATTTGTCATTCAATATCCAAATCAGTTTAACAAACAAAATATTGAAGTAGCTAACAACTCATATTCCCGTTCAGCCAAATAATTGTGGTTCACGAAAGATTCGGTCAAATAAAAATAGATAAAATAAACTAAGATGGATCACTTAGCAATGCAAACCCACATGATTATTTCAGTGACGTCATTGGTACCATTAATAAATAACATATTTTATTTCTTAATTTTCTTCTAAGCTGATGTGCAAGGTTGTGTTTCCAACTCTCATTATTTACTGCCTTTTCAGAAGAATATCTGTTACTATACATTTAAAACAAGTCAAGGATACACCAGCAAGTTGATATTTACTGTGTACAATTATCAACATATAGATATTTTTTATTACCATGGTCATCACTAGTGGCTTTTTTTTTTTTGTTCTTCCCTACCTAGCCTTTTAGGCTATAGGGGATTTTCTCGGGCCGGGGGGTGAGGGCGGGGAATTTAAAATCCCCTCCGGCACCGGGACGCGAACTCGTACTTTTTAAATCTTCTCAAATCTGTAATCCGGTTACCAGGCAACTCGAGGTGCTGTGCACACGCTTTAGCCCATTCGGCTACCCCGCCCCCTTTATCACTAGTGGCTAATAAGATAACTAGGTCTTTAGGCTCGATACTTTCATCTTGTTCTGCTGTCAAACAAAAGCTTCGTAAATCTCGTCAAACACCTCCAATGCCACCTATTAGCTCCAAAGAACATGAAAGCCAGCCATGTGGTGATTCACATGAGAACATTAAAGAACCTCAGCCTCAACCAGGTACATCATCACAAGTGATAATTACAGAATCCCCTTTTTCTACACATAACTCCTATCAGGTGCTTCAGAATGACAGCGAGTTAATGGAGTCCGAACCGATACTAGATACCCCCGACCTCACCCGATATTCGTTAAGAATATAAAACATTTCCTATTACTATGTTCTCAACTATACAAAGCTACTCATGTCCAAGCAGAACAAATGACATTAAAATATCACCAGATACAGCTGAGACCTATAGAAAAATTGTGAAGTATCTAACAGAGACTAAACCAGATTTTCATACGAATCAATTGCTACAGGAACGAGTTTTAAGAGTTGTTATAAGAAACCTCCACCCCTCAACACCAACTGAAACAATAGAAGAAGAACTGAAAACTTCACGTGCGCCAGATAACAAATGTTCTAAAGGAGGGTAAGGAACAGCCAGGAGTAAAAGCTATTCCCCCTTAAAACTCCTGGCACTGATCTCCTTACCCCTAATCTCCTTCGACAACTTCTATCCAAAGCAGTCATATTTCTTACATATATCTGCAATTGAATTCTACGTGCCACCTACTTTCCTCTGTTATCGAAACATTCCACCATTATCCTTTTCCCAAACCCAGGCAAACGTCCCAACAGCTTGACATCCTATAGACCAATTAACCTACTCCCAATCTAAAATTAATCAATTTAAAAAATATTTGAAAATATCCTTCTGAAACGAATCATACCTTTCATAGAATCCTAAAATATTCCTTTCCATCAGTTAAAAAGAAAAAATGTTTGAAAATTTCAACTGATATGGAAACTATTGCTACTTTGGTACATTCAGATAAAGATCAACCAGCAAAGCTGAGAAAATCTAATTTAGGTAATATTTTTTGCGGAAAAGCACATGATAGTCATTTTTGTTATGAAGCACGCAAGATGCTGCCTGGAAATAGAATGAAAATTGTTTTAGATAGAGGAGTTTTCTTTATTTGCTTGAAAGAAGGTCAGAGTGCAAGATATTGTAGAAAACCGAAGCGGTATTTCATTTTTGGTACACTACGATTATTTGTCCAAATTTAGTTCCATCTCAGTTATCAAATGAAAAATCAGAAAATGATAAGAAAATAGAGTCGAAGAATTCAGTTTCCACGGATCTTTCAAATCATTCAAGAATGCGGGTACTACCAGGAACCTTTCTCGCAAAATTGGAACATGGAGCGGGAGAAACTGTGATCAGATGCTTGATTGACACAGGAACACAAAAATCATACATTTCAGAGGGACTTGCGAAAAAATTGAATTCGATATCACTGTGAGAAGAAAGAATGGTTCATGAACTATTTGGTGATACAGAAACGAAGCCACAAAAGGATAAGGTTCATCGAATTCATTTGTGCAGTATGGATGATTCCTTCAGATATAAATTTTTTTTTTTTTTTAAACTTTTATTATGATATTTACAACTGTATTAGTATGAATACATCAAGTAAATGTGTACATAAGAATATAATCACATGAAACACGCTTGTTGAGAAACCAACCATTGGTAGCACTCTAATAATTTGTCTACATGAGGAGATCACGAGGCCATCTCCTTTTCAGACGCCTGTTCAACGTCGAGAAAAACTCCAGTGCAATACATTCCGCGCTCCAATGCAGAGGAGACAACATCTATCACACGATGACATTGCTGGATAGTGGAATGGGATGTGCGGAATCCAAATTGGTGATCAGGGATTATGTTTGTTAGAATCTAGGATGGGATACAGGCGTTTTAAGATGCGCTTCTCCAGGATTTTGCCCATGATGGGTAAAAGAGAGATAGGACGGTAAGAGGATGGGTATTCTGGTGGGAGGTATAACTTTGATATATAATATATCAATATAATATAATATATAATATAAATCTTACTCCACCCACTATTTGTGATGCGGTGGAGGTGTTAAATACAAAGGAAATTAGAAATGTTTTTAAAGAACAAGGTATCCAGATCACAGAAGACCCAGATGACCCTGAACAGTGGGTGATCCCGGAATTTTCTTAGGGATGGGGGCGCACCTCTGTACCACGTGCTTCCCCCACCCCTACCTTTTCCCCCACTAATAGCCATTTTCCTCCACTTCTTAGCTGAATTTAGCAGTTCAAGAGTCCTCTTTAAATGGTTTTAACAAAAAAAAAAAACTCTATTTTTATCTATAGTAAAGTTTGACTAGTTTACAGTAAAGCTATTATAATTACTTAAATTAAATAGTTTTTGTGTTATCACTTCCTAATCAACAAAACGTGACACATAAAAAAACACTAATTTTTAATTCTCTAATTTCCTGCTAAAAATCGAACCATTGTTTATATAAACTTTTTTGTATTTATTGAGTTCTGCTATCACTCCTTTAAATATTTCCTTCTACTCAAGAGATCCCTATATATGGGTTTAGACATGTAAAAAACTAAATTTCTAACACGGGTCACCAAGAGAAAAATTTTTACAGCCGAAAATTCCAGATTTATCTGATCTTTTTTTTTCATGTAAACAGTGCATCAAAGCGAAAAACGTATACTTTAAGAAATTAAAAAACGCCAAATTGTGCCTTAAACGAGTACCTAAACTTAATAATTTGATTAAGTGATATGGTCGATAACCACGGTCAATAAATAAATCAATAATTTTTTTTTTTGATAATTTTTCAGCCATCATGTATTTCACCAAACTGCGAAAGGAGCACAAGCCTTTGCATATCACGGTGACCTAAAAACTACATTACTCTTTTCTTTAAATAGATGTTTTTTTTCGGAATTATTTTTATGTTATAAATTAAACACATTCATACCTATGTACAATCAGGTTGGAGACCTCAAGCCAGGCTTCTCCTCCCCAACTATAAAAGAAAAAACAGAACATCAAGAGATCCCTGCGCTGGTGCTAAAGCCAGTGAAGTTTGCCCGAGAGCGCTTTGGCCACATACACTCATGTCTTGAGTGGAGAATCTGGCCAATGCCGGAACTCCAAGATATATAATACAAAAGATCTCTGGACCACTGCCCCTTCAACCTTCGAGGAGGATTGTAGGGATGAGTGGAACTAGATAGGGATTGTGCTAGGGGATTCGGGTGATTTATAAGGTTCTGATGGAGTTTGGAAAAATTTTCAGGGATAAGGTCGAGGACAAATGGGATATTAAGGTTATGATGTAGGGTTTTGTTGGTTACATAGAACGAAGCATCGACTATTGTTCGGGGAACTTTAGACTGAAAGAGATGCGTTTGATGTTTGATGTAAATTTTGCTGTCCCCCAAAATTCAAGTCCGTAGGTCCAAATAGGTTTCAGGATTGTCTTGTAAATCAGTAATTTGTTGTCAATTGAAAGTTGAGATTTTCTAGTCATTAGTCTGTATAATTTGCCGTATCGTCGGTTAAGTTCTTATCTTTTATTAATAGAAAATAACTTTATTCTGGGACAAAGTCCCTTTAGAATAACAAAGTAGAACATAATTAAAATAGTACATCTGGCCAAAATAAAACAATAATAAAAAGAGAAAGTAAAGAAAATATTATCTTTTAAGTCTAGTATGTGGGTTCCACGTTAGTCCTCGGTCTAAGATAAAGCCAAGATACCTGACTGTGTCTGAAAAAAGAAGCTGGATGGAACTAAAGGATTGATGGACAGGTTCTGCGCCGGAGCGTAAAGGTAATGTGTTTGCATTTGGATTCGTTTACTTTGATGCGCCATTTATTACACCAGTGTTTAATCAGGGCGAGGTGCCTCTGCAGATTTAAAGATGATATTTCGAGATCTGAGTTGGATGATAGGACGGCGGTGTCATCAGCATATGTTGCCAGGAAGGTATTGGGATGGACAGGAATATCAGCGGTAAAAAGGATAAAAAGGACGGGGCCCAAGACGCTACCTTGAGGAACACCGGCTTCAACTGGGTAGAAATTGAAAAATTCTGTACCACAGCGAACTCGAAATGTGCGATCAGAGAGATAGGAGCGGAGGATTAGGTACAATGACTGGGGTAGACGGGTTTTAAGCTTGGAAAGAAGCCCGGCGTGTCCCGATAAAAAACTTGAGCTTTATCGAGAAATGCACCCGAGCAATGTTGCTTGCTTTTCAGTGCTGCGGAAATATGATCGACTACTCGGAGTCCTTGTTGGACTGTGGAGTGTTGTGAACAAAATCCGAACTTATGGGAAGGAAGATTTTGGGATTCTATAAACGGTAGGATTCGTTTCAGGAGGATATTTTCAAAGATTTTTAAGACGATTGGAAGTAGACTAATTGGTCTTTAGGGCGTCGAGGTGTTGGGAGGTTTGTTTGGTTTGGGAAACAGGATAATATAGGAATGTTTCCACAAAAGAGGAAAGTAG